CTTGAGCATGGGGTGATGGAGACTCTTCATACGGACATGGGCAGGCAGTTTGAATCTGAGGTGGTTAGACTGCTGTGCGAAATGTTGGGGGTAAAAAAAACACATACCGCACCCTACAACCCCAAGTCGGATGGCATGGTGGAGAGGCTTAATAGAACCCTTATTTGTCAGCTTGCTTAGATTGTACTGTCATGTGAGGGTGAGTGGGACTCCTTCCTGTCACAAGTCACATTTGCTTACAACACTAGCGTACACTCCAGTACTGGATTCACACCATATTTTCTCACCCACGGGGGAGAGGCTCGTACTCCAGTTGACATGGTACTGGGCCCGAGTCTGCAATGTGGTCCTGGGTAGGACTCTTCAAATGAGTTTTTTCTATTCCTGCACAGATGCCTACAGACTAGTTTTCGACAGTGTAGGGAAAACAGTGTAACTACCAGTGACAAACAGAGAACATTCTATGACAGAGGAAAGAGACATCATCCATATGAGCCCGGGGATCTAGTGTGGTTAAATGACCCAACAGAGAGCCGTCATAAACTGGCTCCCCATTGGAAAGGACCTTGCATTGTGCAGCAGAGGCTGGACAGGGACAACTCGGTTGGGGTTACCTATGTGCTCAGAAGCCCATTTGGAGATGAGGCTCCCATCCAAACTGCACACTATGACCGACTACGGCGCTACCGCCTTCCCGTAACCTTCTCACTGACTGGCCCGTCTCGGACTCCACCTGTGTGTTTATCATCCCTCAAATCTCCAGATTTTGCCCTGCCACCAGCTGTTTCTGATTCAGGGACCCCTGTTCCCTCACTAAAGTTTGGTGTTAGTGCCAGCCCTAGTTTGGAAGGGTCCTCTTTTTGTATGGGTACTCCAGTAAAGGTTTCTCGTGCTGGACGCCGTACCAAACCACCAGCACGTTTTGCTGACAATGTGATGAAGTAATATTTTGGGTTTATATTTTAATTTGTTTTGTACATGTTAGCTGTTATGTTGGGTTTCTGCCATGTAGTACCATGTTATATTGGAGGCCTTTATGTTATACCTACTATGCTGTTGTCCATTTCACAGTGTTGTTTACGAAATGGGGACATTTCCTTTGTGTGTGTGTGTGTGGGGGGGGGGGGGGGCGACTGTAAGCGGGTGATGTGTTGTGTGCATGTGCTGTTAACTTTGAGCTGCTGGACTGAGGGTGGTTACTAGACTCTCTGTGGAGACATTCATTCGTTCGCGGGCTGTGGTGGCGATGACTGATGAAGCTTCCAAATAAACTGAGACGTGTTCCCGTACTCCAAAGGTATTTCGCCTATCTCTTTGTCCTGAGACCACGAGCCCAAACCTCTTCAGCTCACCCGTTACACTAGTGTAGGCCATGTCGATGTTCACTCTGTTTTAATTTCTTTGTTTTGCCTCCAAACAATCTCTTAATTTTTATTCCACGCTCCACCATTATGCAAACAGAAAAAGTAACTTCTTCTTTTTCTTCTTCTTGTGCTTTTTATTAACGATCAGCACACGGACAAACCTAACTGCTAGCACAACAGCTGTAAATCAGGTAAAGCGCTACCCCTATAGGGCACTTAACCGCTCATCAACACTGTTAAGTGCAGCATCTGGTCAGCAAAGGGCTGCAGAGTGGTTTCAAATATGAAACTGGTCAAGTTTCTAACTCAGCAATAACTGAGATCAATGTTACGCCCTTGCTTAAAGTTTTAAAAATTATTTAGTCTTACTTCATGTGCAGTTTCTGTTCAGCAGGTTACATGCTGTCCAATGTGACGTTGGTCAAATTTCCAACTCAACAACCACTAAAACCAGTTTGTAAGTAATAGCTTAAAGTGCTACAAACTCTTTAGTGTTTATTCATTCATTTATTCATTGCTGTGGTTTAATTAAACTGTCCTTGTTGGTTATGGACTAAATTTTTCATAATGTATGCATTTAAATTGTTGTTTATTTGTTCATGTAAGTCTCACAACAAAATTTATGCATGTTTAGTTCTTGTGTGTCTCTGAAACCAACTGAAATCACATTTTGCAGAAATGAAAGATATTTCTAAATAAAATCAAAGGCATACTTTTACAAGGACATCTGATTATTCAAAGAAATCACTTGGTGGGAGTTGTTTTGAATGTGTTTGTCCAGAAGAGGGCAGCATCCTCCACCTTTAGTTTGGTGTAGAAAGCAATTCCCAGTACAAAGTAAAAATCACATTCAACCTTTAATAATATCCTACACATGTAAAACATTTGTATGATGCATGAAATGATTTCTTTCCAGTCTAATTAGTTAGCATTTATCTAATTTATGTTCGTGTTCTGCTGTTATAAAGGTCAAATAACATTAAATGTCATTTTTATTCATGCAGATTTCCACCATCTACCATCAGAGGGGTCATTAGACCTGAATGAACCATCTTGAGGGATGCAGGATGACGGTTCTTGAGTCTCACTGTCCACGCTGCTTTTAGAACTGTTTAGTGGACTCTGCATGACTGAGAGGAAAAGAGGAGCGAGGGATGAAAACAGGGAGGAGAAAAGGAAAAACAAATACCCACACAGGAGCACAGTCATCGTAGGTGAATGAATTAGCTTTTCAGAGCTTCCCACTCTCTGCTCCGCCTTGTCAGACTTCAATTTACAGAAGGGTTTTTATTTTTGCTAAATTAAACTTAAAACTAAAATATACAGAGACGAGGCTTTGTTTATTCAGTGTGTCATAGGAGGCGTTCGCTGAAACAGCTTGGTAGACTATTTCTACTTAGGCTCACTATTGTGTAAGCTGGAAAATGTGTTTGATTCTATTAAGTCTTCATGGTCAGATTGATCCTGCTGGGATGCTGAATAAATTAGATCAACAGCTTGTGCCTAAGATTTGGTTTGAGGGATCATGTTTTCTGTGACATTGACAGTTTCACCGCACATCTCAAGTTTTTCAACCTATAAAATTTATTTATATATAAAGATGAAGTCCAAGAAGGTCGCAAAGGTCAGGTCTGTGAAATCCTCCTGAAAGTCTTCTGAATCAAACCCAAATCCTGTGGAGCTCATGGAAAATGTTTCCTTTTTTTTTTTTGGCTCCTGTGGAATAATCATTCCCTGGTGATTCATGATTACATCACAAACTGGGAGGATCTTTACCTGAGCTTGTTTGGCAGGAACTCTGGCTGTCTGGCTGATGGCAAGCACTTACTAAATAAAGTTGATTATTTCCTGGCAGGTCAAAATCTTTGCACAACATTCCTCACCTTTCATTGTAGTTAAAGTTGTACAAATTTAAATAAATGTACACCACTCAAAATATAAAGGGAATAGAAAAATAAGACATTCTAGATCTGAATGAATAAGAGTTCTTATTAAATTCTTTGTTTTCTTATATAGCTGAATGTGTTGACAACAGTCACACAAAAAAAATTATCATTGGAAATCAAATGCATCAACCCACAGAGGTATGGATTTGGAGTCATACTCGAGTAAAACACACACTACAGGCTGGTCTATCTTTGATGTAATGTCCTTAAAACAAGTCAAATAAGGCTCAGTGGTGTGTGTGGACTCCACGTGCCTGTGTGACCTCCCTACAATGCCTTGGCATGCTCCTTAGGTGGAGCAGATGGTCTCCTGAGGGATCTCGTTCCAGGCCTGGACTAAAGCATCTGCCTGGACAGTCTGTGGTACAGTGGCATTGGTGGATGGAGGCACGATATCCCAGATGTGCTCAACTGGATTCAGGTCTGGGGCACAAGCGGTCCAGCCCATAGCATCAATGCCTTCATCTTGTAGGAACTGCTGACACTCTCCAGCCACATGAGGTCTAGCATTGTCTTGCATTAAGAGGAACCCAGGGCCAACTGCACCAGCATATGGTCTCACAAGGGGTCTGAGGAACTCATCTTGGTATTTAATGACAGTCAGGCTACCTCTGGTGAGCACATGGAGGGCTCACCTGAGAGAAAGAAATGCCAGCTCACACCATTAGTGGTGAATTAGCCAATCTTGCACAGTATTAGGCTGTAAGCGCAACCCCCACCTGTGGATGTCAGATCCTCATACCACCCTGATGGAGTCCGTTTCTGATCGTTTGAGCAGACACATGCACTTTCATGGCACGCTGGAGGTCCTTTTGCAGGGCTCTGACAGGGCTCCTCCTTACACAAAGGTGGAGGTTATGGTCTTCCTACGGCCTCCTCCACACCTCCTGATGTACTGGCCTATCTCCTGGTAGTGCTTCTGTGCTCTGGACACAGAAAACCTTCTTGCCACAGCTCGCACTGATGTGCCATCCTGGATGAGCTGCAAATCCTTAGCCACTTGTATAGGTTGTAGATTCCATCTGATGCTATCATTAGAGTAAAAGCACCACCAGAATTCAAAAGTAAATATCAACCAGAAAGCATAAGAACTAAAAGTGGCCTGTGGTCACCACCTGAAGAACACCTGCTTTATTGGGGATGTCTTTCTAATTGCCAATAATTTCCATCTGTTTTCCATTCCATTTGCACAGCAGCATGTGTTGCTTCCCAAGTGGACAGTTTGAATTCACAGAAGTGTGATTTTTAAGCATTCCCTTTGTTTTTTTTTTTAGAAGTATATAATAAACTAGCTTTTGTTTAGTGAGTTCTAAAGTTGTTTGTCTGCTGTTTCAAAGAATTGGAAAAATGCATCCCAAAGTTTATCAAGAGGTAAATATTTTCCTTTGTTTTCATTGAAAATGAATAAGCTATTAATGTTGTGTGCCGGTATTCTGCAGCCATTCATCCTGTACATGCTTTACATTAAATATAATCCACTTACACACCATAAAGAGAAATGTGCTTAACAGGCCAACATTTAGGATAAAAACAGTAAATATTTTGGTGATTTAATACGAAAAACCTGCCGAGTTTAGGTTTTACGTTAGTCGGCTAAAACGACACCTAAAGTCGGCGTTCTGATTGAATTCTTGTCACTCGGTGGATGTTTACTTACAATTTCTGAGCAGTGAGCCATGACAGAGGGAAGCGCACTTCAATAATCTTTATTTAGTTTACAGATGTTTTCCATTTGTGAAGACTGAAGGAGGGGGAGCATTAGTGCCATTTACAATAGAAAATGTTTATCTCTGTACAGATTTGAACCCTGATCAATATAAACAATAATCTTTAAGACCTAGTGCTGTTAAAAAGCAATTATTTAAAGCAAAGAAACAAAAATCACACCAAGAAAAACGATTATATTAAATTATAAACAAAAGAGAAAAAGAAAACTGCACAGAACAAATAAAAGATAAAAAGTTCATCAGTTCATCAGTGATTGGAGGATTTGTTGTTAAAACACATGACATCATCAGTGAGCGACTGTGAACTGGCTAGCAACTAACCTTAAACATAATCGCACTAAACACCAACATAATGTATACCACCAGGATTGCCATGTTCTATAGAAGATTCATATTAAATATTATTCTACTTGTTACTTTAGTTTGGAACAGCACTTCCATTGGAAACATACAAAATAAAACATTTTCATACATTTGCATTAATCAAATGAAAGAGCACATGCTTCAGTTGTGCAAAACAGACTTTTTCTTATTTAATGCAGATTTAAGGGAAGAAAAGAAGAAAATTAAGACAGAAAAGGGTAGACTTCTCTGTCGTTTCTGCAGAGCGATCATTCACAAGATTCACCAATAAAAAAGGGAACCGGATGAGAGCGGGATGGTGTGAGAAGAATGGTTTCGTTATCAGAACGCCACTCTGCTCGCTCGGTAATATGCATGAAGTCAAAACAAAACTCAGTCACAAAAACGGGGACAAACAAATATCCAAGGCAAATCTCACTAATACTGTTTATCTGTTTGGCTTCATTTGGTTGAAATAAGATGAAAATAACTCATTTCTCTCACGTAACCTTTAAGGGCACATGTAGAGGGCAGTAAAGGAGACAGCAGGTGTGTTTCTGTGCGAGTGTGTGTTGGAGGTTTCTGATCAGGCACGTCTTTGTCTGCTGCGCTGAGGCAGGTTGTCGTCACGATGAGCTTAGTGGTTCAAATTCTCGGTCGCCTGTATGAAATACAAAGAGACCACACACAAACTTGGCCTCTGTTTCATCGATGACACAGTTAGTAACGGACTGGAGAGACCAGCTGAGGAGGAGGTGTGTGAACGGCGTGCAGAAGGATTCAGAGGAAAAGACAAAAACAAACATGCGAATCCAGTTCCTTCCTCTAATTTTCGGTTATGACATCAAATCAAATACAACAAAGAAATCAACTCTATTGTTAATCAGTTCCCCGATTCCTGCATCTCGGACCTGCTATCGTCTTATGTATGTGTGTGCGTGAAGTGCAGAGGAAAACAAAAAGGGAAAGGTGTGCATTTTTCTGTCCACACTCCGGATAGGCTTCAGGACCAGGGGACAAGCTCCTTGGGATCAGGGCGTCAGCGGTGTGAACGGACAAGAAGAACGGGGCGCCGGCAGCAGAGGTGAGTATTTACAGAATGACACAGCAGTTATGCTCCCCGGTCTTCTCTCTGTTCCTTTGTCCTGGAAAAAAAAACACACAAACATCCTCATAAAGACAGATGTGGAGAGGTCGGTAGAACTGCAGTCACTCCGTTTACATTTTCTGAAGTAACCTGAGCTTCCCACTGGAGGAAAGTGTAAGTGGTGTGTAGTGCAAGCAGCAAGTAGCGTAACAGACACGTTTTACGCCTTCTTCACACTGAAGGCATCAGCGGCACGAAGCGGCAGTGGAATGGTTCGCTCATGTTCTCTGCTGTTTATCAATTCACACCGGGAGTCTCAGCCGCGGAGCAGCTTCTCAGCTGTCCTGAGCCAGAACATTTCTGCACCACGGCTGGTTTGGATCCGCCCTATAGACTATAATTGATTTTTTTTTTGAGGCAGCATCATTCCATGCCGCTGATGCCTCCAATGTGAAGTAGGCTTTACCCACAAGCTTAGCAGCGCATTCCTTTTCATGAGATGCGTAAGTTGGGCATAGCGTAAGCGGTGACCTTAGCTGCGTGTGCCTTCCTAACAGGAGAGTTTCGGATGCGCTGCACCTGGCAATTTGTTCCAAGAGTCACAAGATCACGCATAATTTTGACTGGACCATGTGATAATTAGCAAGGAAAACCACGACAGCACACATCCAAACCGTCTAATTTATTTTCAATTATTTTTACTCGTGTTCTGGAAGCGTCGCACGTAAAAAAATAGACCGAGCGAAAATTCAGCAGAGCGCCACAACACTCTTCTTCTGGGAAACGACCGACATGATTCCGATTTGTGTCGCATATGCACCGCTGCACCAGGTGGTTACCCATAGATAACAATGGCGGCAGCTATTAGCTTTGTTTTACGCTTTGCAGACATTATGTGCCGCTTCTGTATTTGGTGCAAAGCCAGATTAAAGAGCGACTGCACACCATCAGAAAACATAACTCCACCACTAGTCAAGATTTGAAAAAAATGCTATGAAAGTGGGCGTTGCCAGGAGGCACAGAGTGGCATGGCCAAGTGTGGGGAATTTCCGTTTCGGGAGGGGGGGGGGGGAGTGGGAGGAGACTGTACCGATGACGTGAAATTGTTCTAGCCCCAGTCAATCACAAATTTGAAATGCAGTAGCCACTGTTCTGCCACAGGGGGCAGCACTAAGACATTTTTAGACCTAGATACTAGATTTAATCAAGTTTACACAAACATGTCAAAAAAATGCACAGAAACAGAATGATTGCATTTGTAAAGAGTCAGTTATACAGTTTATAAGCAAAAAAAAGTTATTTGGGTGTTTAATTACTCTTTAAGAATGATAATCAAATGTTTCTAAAACCTTTCAGCAGTTTCTGCCTGACAAATATCCATCAGTCCCAAAAATGAGTATAACACAGAAATGCACTAAACCATTTTTCTCACCAGTAAGTAAACATTTAAATATTTTTGTCTCCTTTGTTTAATTGCCTCGTCTTCGTCTGGTTTTACTTGGCCTCATTCTTCACACTGTGCAGCAGCTTAAAGATTTGTTGTTTCTAATCTACAGGTGAAATCATAAACATAAAACCTGTCATCTAGTGATTTATACAAGCTATATATTCTGCACAATGTGCTGTATCAGGGAAGAAAACACTAAAGGAGCCAATTATTTGCACTAGTAGCTGTTCCTCAAACAGACGCCATGTGTAGCAATAAATACCGGCTGGGAGAAGAACATTTACAGTTTTTTTTTCCAGCTCGTGAAAAAAACGCCTGAAAGGGAAAAAGGAGAAACACAAAGCGGGTTACCTTGGGAATTTGGCTCAGGCAAATTCTCTCTGGAAACTAAATGCATCACTGCGGTCTTCCCCAGGGGCAGCTTGAGAGCTAGAGCGGGAGAAACGAGAGCAGAAGAGAAGGAGAGATAAAAAGATGGACATAAAGGTAATTTTCAATCCATATGTCATCCAGCATCAGCATCATTTCACTCCTCGATGGCTTCTCAGACCCGTGTCCAAATTAAAAAGGACTTGGCAGGATTTTGATTCACCATGAAGAAAAGACAAAGTTGCCCCTGCAGGTGGTTCTGCCTCATGCAGACCAAAACCACGTCTGATTCAGGAATTTTAGCACAAGTCACTTTCACATAAAGAGCCCTGAGGACTGATGGGCTAACAGCTAGTCTGAGCCAGTGCATACTAGGGCTGCCACGACTAGTCGACACATCACAACGACATCGATAAAAAAAATAGTTGACGCGTCATTTATTGAATGAGCATTTTTTTAATCTCCCCTGCTGCAGCACGTTCGGCACGTTTGCTTCCCGCCTCACTGCTTATATGTCAAGGCACATGCGCTGTAGTGCCACTCCAGCTCAGAGATCGTGCAGAATCACCAGAGAAACAACACATCATGGCAAATCGACAACGGAGCTCAAAGGTTTGGGAGCATTTTATGAAAACAACTGAGAAGCAAGAAGAGTGCAAACTCTGTAAGGTGAAACTCTCGTTTCACGGGAGCACATCGGCGATGCACGAGCATCTTAAAAGGAAGCACGTGATGGCGGAGAACGAAGAGTCGCCTCTGTAAGTGTACCTTTTAGCTGCTAGCATCACATGTGTCTCATCTCAGTCAGGCTGTCCCCTTCTCTGCCAGTCTTTAAGAATCACCTAAAAACACACCTCCTCCACCTGGCGTTTCCAGAACATGTTTGATTATGGCCCTCTATTATGTTGAATCCATTCCAGTTTTCATTGGTACACTCAATCCATTCACTCAATCCAATTGTGTTTCACACATTTGTATTTTACCGGAATGTTTCATCTATTTTGTTATTTCCATTTTGTATTTTGTAATTTGTATTTTGTAATTTGAATTTCTTTTATTGTTGATTTATTCAGTATAATTACTTACAACTGTACCATGTTCAGCGCTTTGGGCTTCCTGACAGGGTTGCGGAAGGCGCTTTATAAATAAAGCTTTGATTGATTGATTGATTGATTGATTGATGTGTAGCAACAACAGTAGTGATGGTGATTATACGTTTAACACGTATGTATATGTCACGCATTAGCTCTAATGTTACAAACACTAATGATTTATTTCATCCCGCTAAGTTACAGTGCTAAAAGAAAGCGCTCTTCTTCTACAATGGATGAGTTTCTTACAAGGCCAAACAAGTGCACACCGCAACAAGCCAACGCCCTGACCGAGGCCATTTTGAACATGCTGGTAATGGACATGAGACTCCTTTCCATGGTTGACGATCAAGGCTTTAAAGATAGGATCAAGATGTTCAACCAAGAATACCATGAGAACCAGGCTCTACCAGGCCGATCACATTTCACCACATTGATGCAAAGAAAATGAGACGAGCTTTGAAAAGGTGTGCATCTGTGTGTGTACGTACGTGTGTGTGTGTGTGTGTGCGTGTGCGTACGTGTGTGCGTGCGTGCGTGTGTGTGTGTGTGTGTGCATCTATCTGGATACAAATAAAAAATAGAATTTTATGCATTTTATGGTAAAATAAAGTTTGCTGACTGAGCAATTAAGAACCTAATATAAGTTAAAGCATAATGTATTTTTTTTCTACGTTAAATCTTAACCTGCTTTATGAATTAACAATATATCGGCAAATGAACTAACTTTTATCCATTTTATTTTTTAAGGTCCCTGCCACTTCAACGCCATCTCTGCAGCTGGGAACATCTGCTCTCAGAAGAGAGCAAGCCATTCTCCTGAACATGTTGAAATGCTAACTTTCCTGAGTGTAAACTGGGACCTTGTGTGATTATTTAGCTGGATACATTTCATGTGAGCTCAAGTCTTTTTTGTATTTAAGTTTTTAGTTGCATACATCTGATCTGTTTGATATTGTGGCATTTGTATTAACATGTTGCAACAAAATTCATTAAAAGCAGTTTGATAAGCTATTATCTTGTCTTTATTATTAGATGGCACATAACTGATCACACATAGAACTAGAAGCTAATGATGGGTATATTAGAGCATCCTGGTGCAATAAGCTATACTTTTATGAATGACACGAATAGTCGTGACTAATCGCCACCAAACTGGCGACTAGTCGACTAATAACATAGTCATTTCTGGCAGCCCTAATGCATACCACAATGCATTGTTAGCATCAAAAAACGGCTCCAATCCCCCTAAATTCTATAACTGGTTTTCGCAAACATCATTCTGAAAATCTTAACAATGTTGTAAGTTTTGTATTACGTGCTATTAATTACAGAATGTGGCATAAATATCAATAGCAGCAGACAAAAGTAGCACTTTGGATGAACTGAGAGGCTCCAGTTCAACATTCATTTCCAAATATTTCTGCTAAAATAATCCTGTAAAGTAAAACAGAGCAGTGTAAAGATTCATAAAGGAACACTTTGGTCTTATATAGTTCAGACTAGCCGTTAGCTCATCAGTCCTGATGCGTGTAAACCCTATTCCTTCACAGGAAGCTATTTATGATAAGTAAGAGGCTCAGAGACTTTATGAATTATAGTCACCTTCGGTTTATCTGAGTATTATTTTAATCTGTCAAATTATGGGATGGTGTTCATGTTTCATCCTCCTATATCTTTATAGCATTTGACACCTTGTATTGGTGGACAAAATGACAGCTCTGAGGGATTATGAGCTACTGATAACAGTTAGTTACGTTGTTTTTATTCCTTCTCACATTTCTGGTTTCTTTCACACACACAAAAAAAGAGATTTTCAAAAGAACGTTCAACAATTTAGGACCAAATACAGACTTTTCCCCCTCCACATTTATTCACTAAGCTACTTCAGGTCTCTCTGACGTAGAAAGCTTCTTACGGGTCAGGAGAGAAGAATATAAAGCAGAGACTCTCACACTATACATCAAAAAACGCTCCATCAGATCTGCTTTTATTCATGCAGCCTCTCAGTTTTCTAGACACTTTAAGAGGAATCTGTGTGAAAAATCTCCAAAAGTCATCTGGAGCAAAAGCATCATGAACCCGACTCACTGTCTTTACCTCCTGTTAGGTGAAGACATTTGCCGTTACCCTGTGGACTGAGTTTTGGAGCCACTGGGGTCTTTGGGCTTGGCTGTAATAAGATCTGGTGTCTTCAGCCATACAAGTTACACTAAAAGTAACACAATTATATAATAGATGTCTCCAGTGGCACAAGTGTAAAAGTGATATGGACCTAGCTAAATGCATTAACTGACAAAGAAGAGTCAAATCAAAATGGAGTTAGGTAGATAAGTGAGACAGATAAGTGGGGTGGATCCTCTTTTTCTCCACTTTTCATTTTGAAGCTCCTTCCTTCTCTGTTGCTTCTTTGTCTACCCTGAGCTCTGCTCCTATGCCACTTTTCCTGACCAGTCTCTTTCTCCTCTTTTTCTCCATTTCCTCTCTCCTCCCTCCTTCTGTCCGTCCGTCAAAGCAGGCTTGTCCACAGCACTGAAGTACCTCTGTTCTCCGGCTCAGAAAAAAAAGATGAGAACAGCACAGAGCTTTCCAGCAGCAGCACACTGCTGCGACTTTGTGTGTGTGCGTGCGTGCGTGCGTGCGTGCGTGTGTGTGTGTGCGCGCGTGTGCGTGCGTCTATGAGCACATGAGCATTTTGTCTGGGCGGTGTAGCACTGGTGTTTTCTCACCTCCTAGTGTTACATTGCCATGTAGAAAACGTCCCTGGTAGATCAACCTCAGGATGTTTGGACTGCTGGCCTGCTCCTCTTCCCAGTCTGACGGAAAAAGAAAGAAACAGATGGAAAGAGAGGACATTTGTATGGAGGCAGATGAAAGGAAAGCTCTGAATATTTGCCTTTCTGGCTCATTTCATGTTAGGCATTCTCTAAACCCTTTGTTGTGTCTACATTTGGACATTTTTAACCTCTTTTCCACACGTTATCCCTGATTTGAATTTTTCTGTAAATCTTACAATTAACAACCACTAGTCAAGTTTTTAGAGAGGAGACAGTTGAGGTGGCTCAGGCATCTAGTTAAGATACCTCCTGGACGCCTCCCTTATGAGGTTTTCCAGGCACGTCCAACTGGGAGAAGACCTAAAGGATGACCCAGGACATGCTGGAGGGACTATGTCTCTCGGCTGGCCAGGGAACGTCAGGATTCCCCTGGAAGAACTGGCTCAAGTGGCTGGGAGAGCTGGGGAGAGGGAAGACTGGCCCTTCGTGCTCAGGCTGCTGCCCCCGCGACCCAACGTCAGATAAGCGGCCGACGGTTGACAGTGAAGCGTTTTTTTGGTTTAATCAGTAAGAAAAGAGTCGTAAAAACAAAGCCAGCCACTGTTAAGTTATTTTAATCCATACAGTTTTATTCCAAAGAGATGAGATGTGCTGCAGGGCTTGAGAACAGAGAAAGTGTGGACTGGGAAGAGCTACTAAAGGAAAAGAGGGAGTCTGGCCACCAGATGTTTCAGGATGACTGTGTTGTTGCTGTGGCTCAAATTAAGTTGTCTGGAATAAACACTTCCAAAACTGGGAGGAGAATCCAAACTTTATACGTGCAAATTTCTCCCAAGATCATGGGCTCCTCAGATACGGCTCGAAGTTCACAACATTTGTTTAAGTCTGGAAGGAGGTAGAGGATCAGGAATATCAAATATATTTGATTCTGGCGTGGAGGCATCAGAGAGTGGGTGGATTACTGAAAGCACACATTCCTGTATGCAGTGATAATCAGGCTGAATGGAGTTCAATTACACAACTAAGATCTTTTACATTTCCAAACTGCTGCACGTAGATCAACAGCAAAATGACAACTAAATTCCTTTTTTTGAGGCAAATGTAAAAATAGCAAGTTTAACTAAACGAAAATTAATTAATGAAGTGTAAAGATTAAAGTAATTATCAATAAAACATTTGATACTAAATCAGTGAGATGTTAGTGGAGAGCAGAACTCTTCATTAAAACACCTCTTTAACTTTTAGCCATTTCCCAACACCACCACACCTGATTTGATAGTTGATTCAGCAGCTCATCAACATCTAGAATTGAATAAAATAGACTTGATTGACCCCACAATGGGTAAGTTCACTGGTTACAGCAGCAAATACACTTAAGAGAATAATTAGAAGAAAAATAATTACAAAGGTACATGTATATACACATAGGCAGTAAGCTATTATTGTAGCCTTTGACCACCTTAAAACCAAGAATAAAAATGAAACTTGGGTTCCAGAACTATGCAGCATGCTGTAAGGGACACAGACATACTATGTAAATCTGGTATTGCACAAGTATTGAACACATACTGAGTATTACATTGTTGTTATTGTGTACCAGGATAATGCCAGTACAGCTTAAACTGAGGAGTTATACACTCTTACTGCAGAGGGGATGAATGATCCATGGTAGCTTTACATCTGGGATGTCTCAATCTGCCTCTAAAGGAGCTGTCCATGGTCTCCACAGTGGAATGCAGTGGGTGGGAGGTTTCTTTTATTTTTTAAGATGGAGGGCATCTTTACCACTATTCTCCTTTCACACATCTCTTCAACTGAGTCCAGTTGGCAGCTCATAACCAAGCTAGCTTTGTGAACTAGCTTGTTCAGTCTCTTCGTGTCTCGGTCAGAGCTGCCTGCACCCCCAACAGACCACAGCAGAGCAGATAACAGAGCCAATCACAGAGTGATAAAAGGATTTTAGCAGATGGGAATTAACTCCGAAGGACCTCAGCCTCCTCAGGAGGTGGAGGTGGCTTTGGCCCTTCTTATACAAAGCATCTGTGTTGTTGGACCAGTTGAGTTTGCTGTGGAGGTGAACACCCAGGTACTTAAAGGTATCCACCAATGTCTACTCCCTGGATGTTTACTGGTGAGTGATGGGGAGTGTTTCTCATCATGTCCTTTGTTTTACTGGTGTTCAAGCAAAAGTGGTTACGCTCACACCAGTCCACAAAGTCCATGATGACTGATCTGTACTCCTGGTCATTTCCCCCCCAGACACACAGCCAACAATGGCAGAGTCATCAGAGAACTTCTGGAGCTGCTGGTGTTGTAGGTCAAGTCTGAGGTGTAGAAGGTGAAGAGAAAGGGAAAGAGCACTGTACCCTGTGGAGCTCCAGTAATGCACACAACCATCTCAGACGTACGGTTAAGCAGTGGCCTGTTGGTGAGGTAGTTGATGGTCCATGCAGTCAGATGTTCCTCCACACCTGCAAAATCTGTCAAATCTGTTTTAAAACAGATTAAGCTCATTAGCCTAGTTCTGGTCCCCTTCACCAGATTCACTGGCACCACTCCTTCCACGGTGACCTGTGATGTTTCTGAGGCTTCTCCATGCACCAGGAGCATTGTCCTGTCCCCACTGCTTCTCCAGCTTCTTCCTGTAGATGTCTTTTGCCCATCTGATCTTATATTTAAGCTCCTTCTGGACTCTTCTCAGCTCCTCTTTGTCACCAGCAATAAAAGCTTTTTTTGTATTGTTCAGCAGGGATTTCAGCTCAGGGGTCAACCAGGGTTTATTATTTGAGAAACGCCTCAGTCTTCGAGTTGGGACGATGTCCTCTACACAGAAGTTCACATAATCAGTAACACAGTGGGTCAGGCTGTCAAAGTCATCACTATGAGCGCTGTAGAGTGTCTTCCAGCCTGTGGTTTGGAAACAGTCTCTCAGCATTTCTGTAGTTCCCTCAGTCCACATTTTCACATTTTTTTCTGAGGTGGCTCCCTAGTCATCCTGAGCGTATAGTCGGGGATCAGATGAATGAGATTGTGGTCAGAGCGGGCGAGCTTCTGTAGGCCCGCGTGAGTTTAAATCCTTCCAGGGAAATCTCAAACTCATTCATCCACGTTTCCGTAAAAAGCATCAGGCTACACGGTCTGAAATCCCGCGGCAGTCTTTGTCAGCGCTGTGAGCTCGTTAATCTTATTGGGCAGAGTACAGACATTTCCCATAATCACGGAGGGTAAATATGGTTTTTATTTCCATTTCCTCTCCTGGAGCTTACGTCCCACTCTGCAGCCTCTTCGTTTCCTCCTTAATTCTGGGGGCAGAACCGGCTTTTCTGTGGAGAAGAGGGACTGTGTCCGCAGCGCCAACAGCTGATCCCTGGTGTAAACATTAGATCCATGGATGGTGGTGGAGGAATTTCCCAGTGTGTTTCCAACAAGTTCAAAAAACAGTAAAAAAAATGAACACAAACAACAATAAGTAATCCTGTGGATCGTGCAGTTGAGGGAACATATGCCCGCATTAAGAGAATTAAAAACACATGACACCAAACAAGCAAAGAATAAAAAAGGAGTAAAGAAGCAAGGGCTGCTGTACCTGGCTGCCGCTCGGGCCACGCCATCTTTGATCATATGACAGAAGCCTGTTTTTCACCTGTTGATTAAAATCAAGTGTGTTGAATAAGAGGAAACTAAAATTTAGAGATTCATCTACTTCAACACACCTGTTCCACAAACATACATCAGTGTTTCCCCTACATAGGCGTAGCCGTGGCGACCCGCCACGGCTGAAATCCCAGTGCCACGCCTACAAGATCCCAAGTTTTATTGATTTTTTTTTGCGCCGTTTCCCAAAGAAGCAGCGGGAGCTACTCTGTTGTTGCTTGCGATCACAGCCGGCAGGCAGCAAGGAGGAGGCGGTTACAGCTGGGGATGAGCCGGATACTCATTTCAGACTAGTATCCAGAACGGATAAAGCATTTTTGACAAATACGAGCATGAAATGAGTAAAACTCGTAAATATTTGTAATCGTGCTGAAGGAAAATCCTCCTTGGGTAACTGACTGTCTTCACGCTCTGTGATTGGCCAGTCACATAGAGCGCCCGTCCCTCCCTACACTCAAAATTGCAGCCGGGAGCTCTGTCCATCCGGCCCATCCACGCGCGCACACACACACACACACATGCACACAGTAACAGATCTCTCTGTGCTTGCTTCACTTTTGCTCATGTTTCTTCAGTGCTCCCTAGGTTTTCTTCAGCTCGCCTCTTTTTCGGCTGAATATTTGAAGTTACTTTTTTCGTAATGTACGTGGTGCATTTGACAAGACAGAGCTGAAAACGGCTTGTGCATGCGTCTGTCACTTCCTCTGCTCCGGTCTGGTTTTTTTTTTTATTATTATTTTATCTCTCTCCCCCTCTCTCTCTTACACACACCTCAGTCAACATTGTTTTGTTTAACTGTGTGTGGGAAAAATGCCAACAACGTTAGGAAAAAAATCAGTTTAATCAAATTAAAATAAAATGGTTCTAGTATTTAATATTTCCTAGTTCCTACTGCATGAGTTCAGATGCATTAATTCATGCACTTAAATAATAATGTTCTGATTTTACTGAAAAACTTGTTCTGTAATAGTTCCTTTACTATTGCGATCAAAAATATTTAATCTCAATTCTGAGGCTGCTCTGTAAATAGTTTTCAAATAAACAATACACATAGCAACTTCTGATCAATCCATATCAATTTCAGACTTAAAATAATGTATTGATGTAAACCACACCCACTAATTTCCAAACAATAAGGTGCATTCATCTGTGTATCTCCTTTGATCTGCATTAGTGATATTTTCAGCACCAGAACAATGAAGCAAAGAAACAGATTCCTGCGTTTGTTAGTAATTTTATTTATTAGGTGCATCTGAGCCGTTCTATTTTTCTCTGAAATGAGATCAAATCAGTGCTTCTATGGGTTGTCTCCTCTCTGCACTAGAAAATTTTACTTTATTATAACACTCACTGTATTCCCCCCCCCCCACCACCACCACCACAGCTGGAAAAATTCCTAGGGGGAAACACTGTACATGTGTGGTTTGATGGAGCTCACAAATGAGCTTTTAGTCTGAATGTGTGTTAGTATCTGTAAAATGTTTTCTGTCTCAACACACCTGAATTTAATCAGTAGTTGATCAACAGATTTCTGTAGTTCTTGATGAGCTGCTGTTGGAGCAGGATAACAATGAAAACAGGCTTTGTGGTAGCCCTCTAGGACCAGGGTTGGGCCCCCTTAATTTATATACATAAAATTAATTTTTTTTTAGCAATTGCGCATGTTCAATTATTTTTAGACATTTTATCAACGTGTCAAAAAAACACGCTTTACTCTGATTTATTTACCTCAACTATAAAAACCTTAAATATTTTACAGTTCTTCTACTACAAAAGTACATTTTAGCACCACATAGGCATATTTTGAGACCCGTTTGCTTTTTATCCATTTTTACAGTGAACGGCAACTTTGTAAAAGTTACGAAAAAGACATGACCCACCTACTAGGATCAGAAATAACTTCATGATGCAAAATCGGTGGTTGATAACTGAATATGGTTATCTCAAAACTGGAAATATTTGATTCTTTGTGACTTACCCTTAGTAGAATATTCCTAAAAAATCCTATTACAAATGTCTTATTTTGCTCTAATACTGAAAACCTCTCTTTTTCAAACACCTGAATGATTTGTAGGCCATTACAGGTCGATTTTGTTTATAAAATATTCAAAAACCTGTGAAAAACATCTACTCTGCAAAACCAAAGAACCCTGTGGAAAAATATAAACAGCTCAGAACTTCTGCAGTGTAAAATGGTCGCATCATTCCAGATCTTTGACATTACACCAGAATCCATTGGAAGCTACTCACCCATGGGCCAGTTGTCATAAACATGTTTGGCAATGTCTGCTGCAGAGTCGTCGGGAGAGAAAAGGAATTCTTTTGTCTTCCCGCTGATTAGAATAATTCGAAGATTTATCTGCAACACAGCACACAAGACAAGCGATCTTTTAGCATGTAAGGTGAAACTCAAATGTGTGCACACGAAAAGGGAACTAGAAAACAGTAACCACATTTTTAAATGGCTGGATCAGGAACAGTTTAAGGTTCAAGTCAAGCTTTTTAATAGGAAACAGGAGGATATGAAGACCCTGTGGAACATCCTTCCACTGGATCAACTCCCATCTGTCTCTCCAACTTCCTCCTCTGTTTTCTCTCACTGCTGGATTTATTTAAACTTTGGGTTGCAGTTTTTCTCCTCTATTGGGAATTTGCCGGGTTCTCACCAAAACCAAACAGTAGACATTTCATTGTCTCAAATGCAAATAACACCATACATGCTGGTGAAATTTGCATGGATAGATGTCCTTCAGATCAACCATGTCCTCTATTTCTACACTAGGGGAGTATTTAAAGAGCCACTAATGAGGCCCACAAAAAAAGAAAGAGAAAAAACATCAGCATGTCTTAAAAACAGCTTTGGGACTGCTTGAGCCACAAAAACCCAAGCCAGAAACCTCTAGATGGCGAGTTCAGTAGCATAATCAGAGTGGTCATTTTGTTATGGCTGATCAGTGTGTGCTTTCTGAGAGAAGCCTGAAGGCTTTTTAAATCAGAAGCAAAATATGCTTTAAAAATTTGATTTTTTTTTTTTTTTTTTTGCTTTTATATCTCACTTTGACCAATTTTTTGTAAACAAACAATTTACAAAATCTATTTATTTCGTTACAATTTAATGCATCTTTTAGAGTAATGTATCAAACTGGAATAGAGCATTACATTAGATGTGAACTTATTTATCAAAGTTATGGGAAAAGATGGCGCTCCTCTGTAAGATCAACAAATCCAAAGATTGATCATGAAACACTAAAATCTGAAGCTCGTCTCAATGTGAAAACTTCCACAAATGGCTAACTCGGGTTGTCGGTGCTGACAGAAAATCTAATAAAAATGACTACTAACACGACACCGTTGCTCCCACAGGGGAAGTTCCTGACAGGGGTCAAAGGTCAGACTCATGTACAGAAATGTGACTTTGAAAATGGGTGTAGGATAAGGATATAGCATGCTTTTTGGGAACATAAACATAAAGATGAAACATTTTACATTTCAAAGATCTATGTTTGGGCACAACTAAAATAACATGGGGTTGTTTGTTTAGTTTAACATTAAAGGGGTACACATGGTCAAGAGAGACACATCTTTATAGACTATTTTTGACAGCTAGAAGTACAGACTGGGTCAATCAGTGTTGAGGTATAAATCTGCATGGTAATTAAACCACCTCTTATCAGGATGTAGATTAATATTCCTCTTATCATTCCATTTAGTCATGCTGTGAGTCTTAAAAAGTCGTGGCAGCAGGCTGTGGTGTATGTTTGCCTCCGCTTACCATCTATGTGGCAAGCCTACGGTACACACATGGCAAAAGCATGTGTGTGATTGCTTCTAATGTGTCTCCATGTGCTGAGGTCTAACCTCTACAAGCCCCGGCCCCACCAAGCCCCTTCTGCTCAGCGATAGATGCATGTGTTTGCAGAAATCATATACTTTTGCTTAGAGATGGCTGCAGTGATGTAACGGGGCTAACACCAAGGGATTGAAACAGAGCTCTCTCTAAACAAGTTACCAAATCAGATTATAGGTTTAAGCACGGACAAGGCATACAGAGACATAAACAAACCCACACAGAGGATTAAAACAGAGTCTCTGCTCTCCAGTGACCAATCGCCATGGAGAATCAATACATAGGAGCCCTACAGATTACAGCCTTGGGTCAATTAACAACCATAAGCTTGTTTCGGACTTGATCTCAATTTTGATTTTAGCAATACATAAAAATAAGGTATTAAGACTGAGAAATGACCGAAAGCTATTCTGTCTCCCAAAACAGGTACAGTGATCCCTCGTTTATCGCGGTAGATGCGTTCCAGACCTGGCCGCGATAGGTGAAAATCCGCGAAGTAGGGACACCATATTTACAATATTTATTTAACAGGTACGTATTCAGTATTCAGACTTTTAAAACCCACCCTTTACATAGTACTGTAATTTGACTTGTTTTTTATAGTTTTATTACAAAAAGTGCATTTTATGATGAAATTGATGAAAAAAAACAGGAATTTCTTGATATTTCGCATAGAAAAATACCGCGAATCGGTGAAAAATATCGCGAATCAGCGAATTTCCCTTGAATAAGGCTCCAAAGAAAAAATCTGCGAAGTTGTGAATCCGCGATAAACGAACCGCAAAGTAGCGAGGGATCACTGTACACACACTTCCATCTCCTCTGCTGGCTTGGTCAGGACAAAATGAAGGGAAAACACAGATAGCATCTGATTCAGGTCGAGAAACATGGTTGTATTTAAGGCTGGGCAAATGGACAAAATTATCGACAGTCAAGGATAAATTGGGCCATTCACAGTTTTTTATTTTATTTTTAAGAACAATATTTTTATGCCTATGAACTTGTCTCGCGGATGGTACACAACATACTACCAGATCAGATCAGCGTTTCTTTAGCGACACTATCTACATACACATCAATAAAAAGTTTGAATCCCTTTGATTCCAAAGATATACACCAATCAAGGACACAAGCTTAACTGTACACAGTAAAAGCTTTTGTCAAACCACTTGGATATTCAAACTAATGTCTCACCGTTTAAATCCACAAATCGCTGCCTTTTTACATCCACAAAGGTCCAGTAATAGTACTTTAATAAAAAGGTAGTTCACAACAAGTGTTGCATCCACAATCCAACAAACAATACAGCAGAAAGCCTCTCCTTTCTCAGCATAACTCCTGTTGGCATTTTAATATTAGCTTCCGAATTTTGATCAACAACTTATCTGCTGAGGCAAGACTATTGGCGAACAGGCCAAAAGTGTGGCTCCCTGTTCTGGCATGTAGCTCAAACCAATTACGGCGTAGTATATTGTTGATTGACGCATTAATGGCTGAGTCACACCATGGGTGGAAACTTATTTAACCCTCACTTCCTGTTAGAAAAGGAGAAGAGCAAACACAGAAACTGCCAAACTAATGACTACACTTGAGTTTCTGCCCTGGGATTGGGAAGTCAGGGTTCATACCCAGTTGGGTCATACCAAAGAGACCCAATGCCTCCCCGCTTGACACTCAGCTTTAAGGGGTTGGTTTGGGAGGTTAATAGTTCCCGAGCATGGCTACTGCTGCAGCTCACCGCTCCCCACGGGAATGAGTTAAATGCTGAGACGTAATTTCACCAGTGTGTGATGATGATTAGTGGAACTTTACAGCACTATTAAGACACTCATTTATACTGGTTATCAGCAAAAGAAAGTTGATTTAGATGTTACTCGCCCTTTAAATAGCCAAATAAATAAATAAATAAATAAATAAATAAATATCTTTCACTTTAGGACCCCTAACGGTCTGCTTTCACCACTTGATTAAGAGCAGTCATGATTAGTGGATCGCTGCGTTCAGTGTGTGTCACATCCACAAATATTCTAAACATCACCTGCGTGAATATATAGCCCACTGTCATTGATTGGACAGACGAGCATCACTTGGAAAAGTCACACTTTAAACATACAGGATGTTTGAATGAAGCTGCACTTTGCAGAACGTCAGAATGGTGTTAAACTCGAGTCACCAACAGACATAAGAAACAAACTCAGAAGAAGCCCCCTGACACAAATACAGTATTGCTTCTTCCTGGCTGAACACCTGTCTGTAACCATGGTGTCACCATGGTTACAGACAGGTGTGGGTGCCTTAACCTGATAACATCTACTAGGTAGAAGCCCACCAGCCCACTTCTCTCATCGTATCACACTGGCTTCCCCTCCTTGCAGCGATCTCTGTGCCCTCTCACTCAACTCTCTCTTCATCCCATTCAGGCAGCATCTGTGTCTTCACAGCAAAAGTAGAGAAAAGCACAAGGTCAGAATACCAAGAGGCACAGAGCTGTCCTTGGTTCAACATGACAGCCGCAGACTAACTCCTCCCACCAGCCTGTGCAGCACCAATCTGCAATTACGCACAGCATCTCATCTTCTCCATTTGTCTTTGATTCCTTTATTTGCCAAAACTTTTTCTCTTTCTATTCCCCTTTATAACACAGAATGAATGGGAACACCTAAATTGAAGGACAATTTCAGATGTTAAGAGTTACTTGATGATAGCAAAAGAAATACATGACAAGATCTGTTAGACACACAGGGCATTCAATCAGAAAACATGCCTTTACTTGGAAAAAACAACAACTAAAGACTTGAAATGCTATTTAAGGGTCTATCCAGACTATTCAAGCGGCTGCCTTTTCCTTCTTTTCTTCATTACCTTTGATTCAGGCCCTTCCTGAATATATTGTCTCCTCTCGTGCTGTTCTTCCTCCCTTCCTTCCCTTTCTCCCTCCCTGAGGGTCACGATGCCTCCTTCCTGGATTCTCTTCAGTAAAAAGGCCGGTAATGAGGTTTCACTGCAGCTCAAGGAAGTATATTCAATTTGAACATTGAATTTCCAACAAATCCAGAAGCTCCTGGTATCGGTGATGACACCACTTCACAGTTTAACGTGCATCACACACATCTACAGCCAAAATGCCAATATTCACCAAATACGATGTGTGGCGGTTTAATAGCCCTTCCAAGAATAAGGAACAGCAAGTGCTGCACTGTGAGGATGTGGAAATATCCATAATAAACCAACCCTGCTGCTGCTGCATACGGCTGCGGTGCAAACATGTGAAGCAAAAACTTTTGGCTAAACACTATTTGCACGAGGAGAGCAGGAAATTCAACGCCACCCATAATTATTCCATCCCGACTACAGGTCTCAGCTCCTTCTCAGGCAGCAGATTGTGTCAGTGTGTGCGTGTGTGTGTGTGTGTGTGTGTGTGTGTGTGTGTGTGTGTGTGTGTGTGTGTGTGTGTGTGTGTGTGTGTGTGTGTGTGTGTGTGTGTGTGTGTGTGCGTGCGCGCAAATGTTTAT